TTTTGACATAAATGTGCAACCCTAGTACCTGACGCCCCTTTTGGAAAACTTCATTGCTAATTTTGAGCCCACCCTTTATGATTAGCTTCACTATCGTTTCTTGTCTTCTTCTGACTCCAATCAACGACAACATGCTAGTAAAGATCCCGAACGAGTGTTCGTAATTCTTTAACTTGTCAACGTCAAATCTACAGCTTCTTTCCTTTGTTCCATCATAATATTCTCTGACGGTGGTTTCAGTGCGGTTTATGGCAGTATTGGTGAGTTTGTAATGGAACATGTGCACAAATTTTACCAGAAATTGAACCGGCTGTTGTACTGAACTAGGGTTTTGCTCATGATCGCCAGGGTTGTCTAGTTGTGAGGTAATGTCTCGGATTTCAAATCGAAGGCGGACTTTCTTGTGGTAGAATCCGAAGTCTTCCATGGAAATTAATCAGCCGGAATCACAAAACGAGAATGGGTGGTGGGTACAATTTTGAACAGCAAGGTTGTGGAATACTTTTGAGGGACTAACAAATATGTGTACACACACACACACACACACATATATATATAGAGAGAGAGAGAGGCTTCAGGGTGGTGGGTGGAATCCATATTGGTTGCGAAAATAAGTAACGAATGACCGACTTCAACTGGAGTTTCTTCATTGAAAAGTTTTGTCTCATTCTCGTCATGGGAGACCGACTTTAATTTGTTTTGGTTTTAGAATGAGTAATGTCGGAGAGAATAAATTTGTAAACAAAGTTTTGAAAACAAAAGGACATGAAAGTTGATCATTGGTTTATTACTTATATATTGATGAATGTACTTATTCTTATTGGTGACACATCATTTAGTTTGCAAATTTAGTATTCAAATTTGGTATTCCTAGCATTACCCTTTTAGAATTGTAATGACTACCCAATTTCTAAATAATTACGGAACCATAGTGCAATAAATGTGCTAATATAGGGTTTATTGATAGATGGCTGCAAGTCGCGGGTAGGATCCAATGACACAAAAGATATGATTCGTTTAGGATTTGCGGGAATATTTTTGTTAAGAAATACACTTTTGTTATGAAGTGTTTTTTAGAAGCACGTTAAATTTTTATTACAAATTCAATGCTTCCTGAAAAAACACTTTTGTATAACAACTAACAAGCATCCAGAAAATGCTTCTTCTAAAGCGCTTCTGTCACCGAGAGGAACACTTACAATTTTTTACCCAAAAACTTTTTTAATTATTAAAAAATAATTTTAACCGTTTTAAAAGAAATTCTACGCACGCCCTAAAATTAAAACCGATTGAGAATTCCACCACGATGTCACCAACGCATGCAATACTAGAAGGAAATCTAATGAAATACAATAAAATTTAAACCAAATTACCTGTATAAAAATCCTCTTATTTTTTGGACGAATACCAAAACAATATCCTCAAACTTCTCTTTATTTCTTACTTCCTCTTTGCCGATTTGGTGGCTATGGGAGGCTGTAGAAAAATAAGCTTCTTCAGTTGCTCCGTCAAATCAACCAAGGTTAAGTTAAAACGGCCTGAAAAATACAGCCATAAAGCTACAATTAATAATAGTTTTAGATCTCCAGAAACTTATAGAGAGCCTTGACAAAATAGCCTGGAATTAGTAGCCCAGCAGCGGTATAATTCATCCTTCTCCAATATGACAAATCAAACCCTCGTGACCAAGGAATTTTTTTCTTTGATAAAAAAAAATGGTTAAGCAGTGAGGGGAGGATGATGAGTTCATCCCAAATTCCAATTAGTTCAACATTTTATACCATAAGGTCCATAATAAAAAAAAGCAAGGCTATAATCAAAGTATTTATTTTTCTGCTGTGGATCATGTTGATCACTGTCAAATGGCATACGGAGTCTCCCCCCCCAAACGCTTCAGATGCATGATTAAAAAGAAGCTATGCAACCTTAATCTGGTAAGTTAGTTAATTAAGGGCACTGATCATATGAACTGCCCCAAATGAAGCGATCATGGGAACTCCAGGGAACAGTTGACGATCTCTTTCTTTCGTTTTTGTGGTTTCTTGGCAAGGCAATTTAGGGAAATTAATTAGTGTTTATCACAAAGTGTGTAACTAACTGGCCTATAATCTCTTTCTTACTTTGATGGGGTTTCTGGCATGTAGGAGAGCCATTATATTAGAAAACATGATATCCCCAGAAATCTATTGATGATGAACCTGGTCGGAATTGTGGGGAAGATGAGAGGGAGGGCATATTGCTGAGTTGCACTCAATGAGTGGTCATAAGCTCTCCCCATCGCCATCCCTTTTCCATTCTTGGCATACATCCTCTTCAGTCACTTTCATCCCATAATATCAATTTAAGGACAGACAAATTCAAAATAAAATCTTCAATATACATTTGCAAAATTGGTGCCCTAGCTCATTAGTAGCTAGTACCTTAAGGACGTGTGAGTTAGTTCGATATATAATGATGGAATAGCGGATATATCAAACATCATAGCAACTTCTTCTTGTGCTAAACTATGATCATCTTAAGCTAAGCTAAGATTTTGTTTATGGATAGATGGCGAAGGAATTGGCGTGTGGGCCACCAGGAGAAACTTGACAGTGCTTACCTTACAAGCTGGTATTCTAGGTTAATCTTAAGAATAAGAAGCCCTTTGTTATGATCACATGCCCGCAGTATGTACAAGATTTTGGTAAAGATATATGTGGGGTCATGATTTTTTTCAGGGCAGGAATCAGGTAGATCGAAAAACGCCAACTTTAGAAGTCCGATCATGGACTTAACAGCCTCCAGTGCGGAGGTGACTAAACGGATTAGCGATACCACCATCATCATATTCTAAAATCAGTGGGCGAATTATGTCGACTGGGTTGTGATAGATCATGCTTGTTCCGCAAGATTCGGGAACTTAATCCAGCAAGGAATCAATATGTTTCCTATAATCTTGGAGTCCTTATTACAATCAAAAGATTGGCGTACAACGCAAGTAGTCACACTCCTAAGAGAATGCAATACCTACTTCCTAGATATTCGCTAGGATTTTATTGGTTTAATAAGGATTCTACTATCCTAAAAGTCCTCTCCTGGTACCCATATATATAACGCAATCTCTGCATACTTATTCTCTTGAGTCTTAATATTACTTACTAACTTGATTGTCGGAGAGTCTTTGACCGGCACACCCCCTGTCTTTGGCTTGCATACAATTGTGTGTTTCTTTAACAAGTTAACAAGTTTGGGCATCTCCACCACTCACGGTGGTGCGCAAATTTGGTTCCAACACTATCTGAAAATGAAAGACTTAGACAAGCAGATGGATGGACATCTAGCAAAAAAGGAAGAACGTTGGCACATGAGATGGCCTCTCAGTCTCATCACAACCTCAAGATTCTTTTCCTAATTACGTGCGTACCTTCAAATTCAATCTAACCCACACTTATGTCTAGGTTCACTGCTCAGTACTACTACTATTGTCGTCCTCTCCAGTCTCTGCTCAAACATAACAAATGCTGCAGCTTTACCACTATAAATAGTAGCATGCATGGTTTACATTTCATAAGTACCCAAGCAATCAAAAACAGTACGTAGTAAATAAATACTATTGTGCATATACATCTGGAATCAGGTGTCCCCTAGAGTTCCCCCGAACACTTCATTAAGATCGATGCATAAGTTCTTTGTACATTAAATGATGATCGCACCATCTTTACTGAAGTGTTTGGGGGAACTCCAGGTGTCATTTGATCATATCTCAACACAAATGACTGGAGGTGATGGCTTGGAATTGATGACTACAGTAACTAATTAAGTACTAACCCAGGTTTTAAGTCATTGTTATTGACTCTCTGCAATAAATATGAATTTCTCTAATAGATTAGCATATGCATGGCAGCATAGGGTTTTGAGTTTATTATTAGCCTTCTTTATGTATTTTCTACCTCCAATTCCCAACTTCTCAAGATAATCAACATGCTATATTGTTTATCTTATTTGGAAAAAGGTTAGTTTTCTTATTCACAGCAATATCCCTAAAAACTTTTCCATCACTCTTCTGGCTTAGTAGCCCAATGAACCAGATATAAACTTTTGTTAAATTTCTTTTGTTTAGTATGTGTTCAAATTCCAAATGAGTCCAAAGAAGGCGCCTGAGATATATATAGTCTATCTGCCTCTTTCCATCTCTCATGACAGTTTATGCCCCATAGCATTTTCGCCATTATCAAGACGTATACATGTACTGCATATGCAAATTTCAAAATTAAATACAAGACCTGTTGTTCATAGAAGCGTACGAACAGATACCGCCTAATAACAAATGAATTTCGAAATTTTTGTCTGGTTTCCCAATGACTCACACTTCATATATTGTCATTTGCTATACAGATCTTTAACTTTTTCAATAGTACAGGAACCCCGAATGATGTGGAACCACATCCTGCTTAAACAATTAAAAAAATGAAAAAAATATGGAGAGCTGAAGTTAGGTTGATTTACTATAATCTTCATCGCCTTTTACTAGAACAGTTTAATTTCTGTCTTTTCCCTCCACCTGACCCTGTGAAGTTGCGACCAGACCACCTCTTCCAGCTGTAAAGATTTTAATATTCCAATAAATCCACCAAACAATATCTTTGGAAGTTAAGATCAATATCTCTCATCAATCTAAGCTGTTTGTTAGAGGCATAGATCAACCACCTGGACATATTGTTTTTGTATTCAGTCCCCCTTTTACACTTGTGACAAGGGACTAGATTTCTTGTAGTAATCGCCACAGATATTTCTTCTTGAAACTTCGGACATTATAGTTTGTCCACCTAGCCCACATCACCTGATTAATCATCTCTTACTAGGTTGTATTACTAGTACTAGTGTTTTTACTACCACTTAATCTAATTATCTCTATATTCTCTCCCTTTCTCTCATCAGCTTCCTCACACATTCATAATTACAGTCTTAATTCCTATCTTTCGGTTCTGGTTCTTCTAGCGTAATCGTCACCTGCTGGTCTCATGGGAAACTGCTGCTTGAGGAAACACCATGGCGAGACAGACTCATCGGTTGTTCAACCTCATCCCATTGGTTTGCACTCATACTGTTAATTTCTGTGTATTTTTTAATGATCAGAAGTTGAATATTTATAGGCAAAATGTTTCTGAAAGTAAAATTCTTCTTTTCTTTCTATTTGGTAATTAAGGAGACATTAGGCTGCAAATTTCTCTACCCAAGACAACTTACAAAGCAGCTCGAGAGAAAGCTCCAACTGTTTCCTCAACTTCCTTACAAGGTCAAGGTACATATAAATATTCCATTTTTTTGGCTGAAAAAAAATATTTGGGACTTTTGTATAAATTTTTCTTTATTCATTCGGTTAGTTTTATATGTTTCTGGGTACAGAAAATATGATCAGTAAACGTGAGAAACGAAGATCACCACTTCAAGAGAGGAATTTCTCGGTCTCAGACATAGGTATTGTTATTGCATGCATGCAATCCAAAAAGCATGTAGCTAGTTACTTTCCCTCTGCTAACCCTAATTAAGAAAACTTTGTTCTCCTCTTCTTTTGTTGATGGAGTGTAGGTGCAGAAAAAAGACGTAGCAAAAGTGTAAGGGCCACGACAAACTCCAATACTCCGAGTCCAAAAGATTGGAATTTGGAGAGAGTGAACAAGAAGGACGGAGTGTTCCGAGATTACAGGCTATACTGCTTCTGTTACAGTGCCTTGAAAGCTTCCACACGCAAGTTTAGCAGCAAGAACTTAATCGGGCAAGGCGGATTCGGTGATGTCTACAAAGGGTATGTGAGTTATTGTAATATGAATGCTGCCGCAAAACCAAGTGAGGGATTTCCAATTGCTATCAAAAGGCTCAGAAAGACAGCACTACAAGGCGATGAACAATGGGAGGTCAGTTGTTTTCTAATTTATTTTTTAATAATCCTTGCATTCCATCCCTGGAGAATGAGCTTACTCTCTTACTTATGAATAACATATTTTTACTATAGAAATTATGTAATCGAAACCATTCAATTTCTTAGGATTCATTTGAAGATCATTCTTAAAAAAACTCATATAATACTTGGTACCTAGACCGTTTAATTTATTTGATACATTTGGATAACTAAATGATAGCTAATTCAAATGATTTTTTTTTATGGATAGTCTTAAAATAAAGATTAAGAAATTGAACAGTTTCATTATGAAATTTTGTACAATAAAGATACATTATTTGTAAGTAGGAGAATGAGTTCATTCCCAAGGGAGATGCAACTTATTATATCTTTTTTTCTTTTTCTTCTTTATTTTTTTTTTCCAAGGAGAAATACATTTTTCACCCTTTAGATTTGGAACAATTTTCAATTTGACCACGAGGTTTTAATTTTCTCACATTACACCATGAGTTTCAGATCTTATCAATTTATGCCTTTTGCTGTATCATCATTCTTAAATTAATGAGTAAATTGTAGCAATGGTCCCTCAACTTTAATCAAATTGAAGCAATGGTCTCTCAACGAAAAATCCATTACCATTGGTCCCTCAACTCATCAAAGTGTGTAATTATGGTCTTTTTCGTCAACTACGTCAAAAATTTTGTTAAAACGAGTTATGTTTGAAGGAACATTGCTACAATTGGGTTAAAGTTAAGGGACCATTTCTCTAGTTGAATTAAAGTTGAGGGATCAATGGTAACGGATTTTTAGTTGAGGGACCATAGCTACACGTTTTGATGAGTTGAGAGACCAATGGTAATGGATTTTTAGTTCATGGACCATTGCTCCAATTGAGTTAAAATTAAGAGATCATATCTACAATTTACTCTAAATTAATTAAGTGACAAGTGTGGAACCCAACTATGAGTTGGCGTGGAATCCATACTCCCGCGCATAGAGACCAAAACTAATCAATCATCATGGAGCTTCATCGTCTCCTCAATTGACAAATAATCACACAATTTCGTCTCATTGTTGTAATTGTGGCTTATACTCAGCCTAGAAACATGTTTGACGTTTGCGACATCATCAGTTTACTAAAAGTGTGGAGGGTGCAACCTGTGAAACGTGTGAAAACTGGAACCCATAACTCTTTTGAAATTCACCGAAGTGTGGAGGGTGTAAATATAATTAGTCTTTTTTCACTCTCTCTCTCTCTCTCTCTCTCTCTCTCTCTCTCTCTCTCTCTCTTTAAATATCTATCTTTCTGCGAGTGTGAGATTTATGTTGGTGGTGCAGAATGAGAGGAAATTTATGAGCAAACTAAGTCATCCAAACATAGTGAAACTAATAGGGTACTGCCGCGAAGGTGAGCACAGAATGTTGGTTTATGAGTACATGAAAGGAGGAAGCTTGGAGGCCCAACTCATGGCGAAAGATGCTACACAGTTACACTGGAGGAGAAGAACCAAATTAGCACTCGGCGTAGCCAAGGCTCTGCATTGTCTTCACACTCGCGGGGCACCCGTAATTCATCGTGATCTCAAAGCTTCGAATGTTCTGTTGGATGATGTGAGGCTATGTCATCATACTTTTTGACATTAATTGTGCAAAATATACACAAATAGTTACGTACCAATATATAATTTTAATTGAAGTATAATAACACTTAGATGTCAATAAAATGGAACACTGAACCATGATTTATATGGTTGGTCAATTTAGTGTTCCTCCAGTTTTATTATGTAACCGAAAGTCATAAAGGTCCTAATCATATGTATTTGTCAATAATTAATCTAACCTTAGGATGATAATCGACGTTGCAGGACTTCAATGCCAAGCTATCAGACTTTGGCCTGGCAAAATATGGACCCAAAGATGACCAGGACCACATAATGACAAGGGTTCTTGGCACCAAAGGCTACATCGCACCTGAGTACATAGCGACAGGTATTCAACCAGTTACCAAATGTACAACGATTCCTACGTACAACCGGTGTAACACAGCGTTCCTCTCATCACCTCACGTAGTTGGTGTCATGTGATCAGCTTTCGTGAGAGGGCATTTTATACACCTAGTACATGCTGCCAGACATTTCATTTCTCCAGAGGGCTAATTTGGTTTTCATTTTTACAGGGCACGTAACACTCAAAACCGACGTATACAGCTTCGGCGTGGTGCTCTTAGAGATCTTTTCAGGCTCCTGCGCCGTGAAGAAATATTCGGATGGGATGACTGGTGATCTTACCAAGTGGGCTGAACCATATCTTCGCAACCGGCTACAACTGCATCGTGTGATTGATGAGAGACTTGGAAACAACTTCCCGGTGGAAGAAGCTCACAAGTTTGCTGAACTCATCCTCCGATGCCTCGATTCAAACCCCAAGAGCAGACCAACGATGACTGAGGTCGTGGCTGATTTGGAGGAGTTGCATGAAAACATAGGCAGCGATCGGATTTCAGGCCCATGTTACTACATTTACACCATTCCCTCCTCACAGAAGTAATTTCCCTACACGAAATGGGTGCCAGGCATATAGATAGCTGTTTTCCTTCGTAGTGCTATCCTAAAATGCGTGAACGTCCACTAAAACTATATAGTGAAAGCAAAGGCAGCACTTGTTCATGAATTAGCAAACTATAATTACAGAAAACACAATATTTACTAGCGCGAGACTAACATGTATTGGCGCCAGGATAATTTGACGCCGGCAGTTGTGACAGGACGAGAACGTCGGTCATCCTGCAGAATTAAACTGATAGCCAACTTTTTACACTACTACCATCAAGCAGATTACCAATACAAAATAGCTACATAGCTTCAGATATTACAGGCGGTAGTAACCTCTTCAGAATGACTCAAAACTGTGAAAAATACATGCCCAAACTCGATTCTGTGAACATAATATGGGATCAAGAGACAAGTAATTTACAGACAGACACCATCTCTGTTAACGAACACGTACAGATTGCCTTTGGGATGCCAAAGGGGATGCATTTGGTGGCATATTGAGAGGAGAATGGTGTTGTCGCATTGGCGACTTCTGAGGAACAGGAAGTGTCTGCTGTTCTGATTGAGAGTTTCTGGCTGCAGTCTTTGGGGATTCAAGTTGTTCCAGCGTGGCTAATACCACTGACATTGTAGGCCTGAGTTTAGATTCAACGCATAGGCATTGTGAAGCAAGAGTAGCAGCTGTATAAGCTGCTTTCTGGGGATATTGGCCCTCCAGCTTGGTGTCCATAATCCGAAATAGTTTTCTTCTGTCACCTAAATATGGTTTCGTCCAGTCTACCAGATTCTGCTCCACACCAACTTTCGTTTTATCAACAGCTCGCCTTCCAGACAATAGTTCCAGCAGTACAACCCCAAAACTATAGACGTCACTTTTAGCAGTCAATCTACCTGTTAAGCAGTGAAAATGTGTGTTAGACATCTACAGAAACATTATCATGTGTTGCGAACATAGTGAATTCAAGCACTTAAGATTCTCTGCATCGTATCTGCTACAACAATGGCTTACATTACATAGCCCAGTTTACAAAAGTTCCGCCTTAAGGAAATCTTAATGACAAATAATGAGAATAATCAAATTTGTACCGTTCAACTATCAGATGCAACTCAAAAGCCAAGTTTTTCTTTCTCAACCTTGTGAATCAACAGATGAGCAAATTCCCAATGTGAAATCACAATATTTATATATAGGTCCAACGAATCATTATTCTCCTTTCACCTCAGAGAAAGTATTGAAACAACCCCCTTATTAGTCAGTCAACTGGGCACCAAGTTGGATATCCTCTAATCAAAAGGTTAGAGATGACCAATCCAGATTATCGGTAATTTGGTGCAACGTCAGAGGTTCACGTGCAATTCTATATTTATAGCCTACTCAGACACTCTCAATATCAGCTTTCCCCAACAAGATATAAAGTATGTACTATGACTCGGGGATGTATGACCAGTAAAAACCCCAATAATACTGCATATAGTAGTTAAACATACCTGTAGCAACATATTCGGGTGCCGCATAGCCTTGAGTACCCATGACTTGAGTAGACACATGAGTCCTGTCGCCAGTGGGACCAGCCTTGGCCAAGCCAAAATCAGAAAGCTTCGCATTGAATTCCTGCACCCGCAATGCAACATTTATGTCAGTGATTTATCCAATCTAATCATGTGATTATTAAACATGACTACTAATGTGATGAGCTAGTTTCCACTTTGTTCAACATACCGAATCTAGTAAAATATTGGAAGCCTTAAAATCACGATATATGACTTGTGATTCCGCCTCGTGAAGAAAACTAAGCCCCCTTGCAGCACCTATGGCTACTTTCATTCTTGTTGCCCATGGAAGTGGTTGCGGCCCTCCTGTGAAACGTATGTAAAACTTCAACATTACAAAGTTTTCAAGGCCAAAACAAAGGAGTTTTTTCTTAAAATTGCCAATGCAACTGTTGTTTATTTGCAAGAAAATATACATAAAAGTGGAATTCCAGATAACTTAAACAATTGTGAGAGGAGGAGGAGGGGAACTATGCTTCCGATTAATGTTAGAAGAATACATCACTTACTTCTAAACAGATGATTCTCTAAGCTTCCTTTCGGCATGAACTCATACACCAAAAGGCGGTTCTCACCCTCCAAGCAGTACCCGATAAGCTTAACCAGATTTGGGTGATGGAGTTGACCAAGATAATTTACTTCTGTCTGAAATTCATTAGCTATCAGTACATAAGCCAAGAATGAGAACTGAAACGCAACAGACATACAGAAAATTGTTAAAGAAGAAACCTACCAACCACTCCTTGTGGCCTTGGAAACCTTCAGGTTTTAGCTTCTTGACAGCAACAACCATTCCGGACCCTGGTTTTGCAGCTGTCCATGTGTTCTCATTAATCCATCCTTTAAAAACATAACCAAATCCTCCTTCACCGAGAAGACTGTCAGGGCGGAAGTTTCTGGTGGCATTCTTTAGCTCATTGAATGAGAAGGCTTTCAAATTTGGAGATGACAATATTTCGCCTTCAGTCCTTGGGGTAGGAAGACTTGAACCATTGCTCCTTCCATTATATGACGGGACGGTCAAAGTGGAGGGAACTGAGGAAGGGCTAGTTTTGCTGGAAACTTTGGAAGCCCCTGATCCTGCCAGGTCAAGTAATCAATAATCAATAATCAGTTTGTGGGGAAAGGGATGTAAACCTACACCAACTTATAGCATTCCTTAAGAAATGTCATATATAGTACAAATCTACTAGAGTATTACTTAAGCAAATTAATTCAAAATTTTCGAGGAACAAAATGAAACGATTGAGTGTAAATTCTTTTAATGATTTCGAAGGGACCTATGTAAACTTGTCGATCAAGGTACAGGGTTTTGAGTGATCAGGTGGTCTCAAAGAAAGATACCAGCTGCCCTGGCTCACCAAACACCTTAAGTTAAGCATCTTTGCTCCATGTTCCAATGATCTCTAGTAAACGATGAAGTCGAATCTTGTGGAGCATAAAAACCAATTCTGTTTTCGTACAAAGGACCACCAAACTTTTCCCCTCAGGGCCCAATTGTTGCTAAAGTCTCTGATTCTAGAGACCTTAGCGTGCCATTGACGCCTATCCTTTACATGATCATCGTAAAAGAACAAAATGAATGTCTAAATCGCTTTCACAGTTTGCCCCCATTTCAGGCCAAATGCAAACCGAGTAAAATTGTAACAATTATCAGCTAATAAAATTTACTAAAAGCACATTGCGCATCACCGAATAATGACAACATTATATAAAGCTGTCTTCAACTTGTTCCTATATTCTCCTCAAAAGGGCAAAATATCATATTGTTTTACGCATTAAAAAACAAATCAAGATACAAAACAAAGAATTAATAATTAACAGATAACAAAAAGAGAAGAACAAATTAAGCAATCTCCAGAAATACGGAGAGTTTGCTCCAGAGATGAACTAAGCTACTCAGAACCCAAAAAGAACACCACTTTCTAATTCAGTAAATACCAACCGAACCCACAAAATTTCACTGCTTGAAACTAATACAAACTCTCAGAAAGGCACTAATAAAAATACCCATCAAAATATAAGACCAGCTTATGAAAATCAAGGCTTTTTTCATAGCAAGGCATTGAAAACTTACCCCAAGTTCCAAGGGAGCTCTGTGCTGTGTCGACTTTAGCAGAAGAATCTAAACAGTTGCCCATTTGCCACTCCAAAAGCTCAAAGGCGCTCTTCTTTTACCGACTTTTATCAAACACCAGCCGAACAATCAGCAAGTCATTGCAAACAAATTTCAATCCGTATAAGAAACTGCAGCTGACTTCTTCTTCTTCTGGGTTTTCTTCGATCGAGCTGACTTTGTTGGAAAAAATTAAATCAGGAAGTTGCGAGGGGACGAAGAAGGAGAAAGAGCGGTCAATGCGAGAAAATGGCAACTGAGGAGAAATTGGCAGAGGGGGCGGAATGAGTGTCTCTGTTTGCTTCCTCTTGGCTAAGAGACGCGACAAACGCGTGGGGGCTGTGACGTGCCCGCGACTTTACTTGTATGTGAATTCTCTTTTGTACCCTTGTGTAGTGTGGACTTGTACCATGTCAAGATTGACATCATTAATCAAAATAACGAAAATACCCTTGTGTGCTGTCATCGAACGTTGTCATGCTTGTATCCATGTACTGCATCGGTTGACGGAGTCCAATCGTCATTGAATACTTCATCTGGTGTGGACATTAGTAACACCCTCCCGGAATGAAAAGTTATGAGATTGATCAAGGACACAGTTTGAATGTGCTTTTAAAGTGACTAGAAATTATTTTTTGTGAGAATATTTTTAGAACCAATTCTTATTAAAAACGCAAGCGAATCCTAGAAAAAACATTTGAAGTGCTCTCTTCAAGCGCTTTCAGTCGTTTTAAAAACACTTCAAAACAAGCTCTAAAATGACAACCTTTTTTATTATTAAATTATTCACAATGTCGATGATAATTGGTTAGTGTTGACTTATAATAGAATCGGTTTGTAACATGCGTATGTAGGCTGCCTGACACTAAAAAATTTAAATACCTACTTTAAAAATTAAATATTATAGTAATGTATAACTTGTAGGAATGATAATATGATTTTTAACTACAAGTTTTATTCTAGATGGCTGTCTTGGCATGTTTAGTGAGAAAGTGATTGAGTGCATATGGCTTGCTTTAGTGTGCAACCTTTAATTAATTCAACTCTCTCTTTAGTCGACTTTGTAATAGTTAAGAAGAAAAGAATAATCCCTTTTACTTTGATAGTGAAGTAAAATATATATTTAATATAAAATAATAACACTCATGAAATTGTTTTTGGTAAAATTGGGGTCAAAAGTTCTAAGAAAAACAACTAACTCTTAACAAAATGCGTTTAAAAAAACCCAATATCATCCTTAAAGATAAACCTATCCACAAGAGGAGGAGGCTCACCACCATGGACAAAGTGGTTATGGTAGACTTGTGAGAATATTTTAATATTTTAGT